AACTCTGAAAAGGTGGAATTATTTGATTTATATTTTTTTTTCAATCCTAATTATTCTCTTTGTTAGTTTATATTGTTGCTTATTAAACCTACGTGCTGTCTGGGGAAAAGAACACCCACTTATTCATGTTAATATTTCACTGCCCTAAGGTTCGCGTTTCGCTACCTTTTATAGCAAACCCCGTTGCCATGTCTATGCACGCCTTTGGGCTTACTTGCATAATAGAAGTATATGCGTAAAGATTGTGTAAATATTGAAGCAAAACGCACGGCAGGTCCTATTTTCTCAACAAATAGATACTGGATGGGTGCAAAGTTTCCTGTTCAGAGCGGAGTTTCTGATACTTGACTGCCTCTTAATATCCTAGTTATCTGACCTAGGAGATGGTGGGGGGGAATTTGGAGCCGTCCTGGGGTTGAGGGAGGTAGTCGGCTTAAAAGTTTTAGCTGGGTGCTCGATTTTCTGGAGTGGGCAGATGAAATGAGCTGGAACTGGGGCATCAGCTGAACATCCCAACCAACGGCGATGCACTGTAGGCCAGGGGACACGATTATGGCTCTTTCCAAACAGGATAATGCCATTATGGGGTTGTGGTTGATGCTGCAGACCCAAAAACCAGGGTAATCTTAGTCTTAGTCCTGTGTGGGTATTACTATCATGACCTAAACTAGTTAATTTGGATACTTTGTGCTGCTGTCACTTTTGTGTCTGCAGGGTAGGCATAATCTTCTTTTGGTATGCACTGGGTTGTATCTTCTGGATAAATGGCAAAGGTGTTGAAACAGTCTTTTGTTGTGGGAGAAGAGTACCTTTTTCTCCATGATGCTAAGGAAGCTTTTCCCGTGGGCAGATTAGCAAGTCAACTGCATTCTCAGTATGTGAGTCAGGCTGGGTGAAACTCGGCTTGGAAAAGAACTCAATTGTTATGGAAAACTCCAAGCACAGAAGAAGTAAAAAAAGGGTGTAGAAAATGCACATACCTAACAAAGGATTGGTTTCTTGGTGAGGGAGTGTTAGCTGCAAAAAGAAACAGACACTGAAAGGTCTCCCTATATGGATGCCAGCTGGACTAAGAAAAGCTGCCCAGTATCTGCAGTCAGAATTTTTGAGGCTGAAACTACTTAAAGTCAGCAAAAAAAGCGAGACTTGGTCTCTGAAATCACTTGACTGTGTCTTCAAAAACTAACCTTTATCTCTGTTCTTTCACTCTTGTAATACTAAGTCCTGTCTGTGGGTCACATGGCAGTCAACCCACTATTGTAGCTCTTCTGTGTTGCATTAACACTTAGGGCTTTTTGGTGAGCATTTTTTATTTTCATATTTCCACCCAACCTATGAACATCAATTGCAAATCATTGCTTTCTGTCTGATCACAAAACATTAGTAAGAACAAAGTGGTAGTATTTGCTCTACCAATTTTCTACAATAATTTAAAACTTTGCAATGGAATACAAATAGTATGAGTGCAATTCAGTAATATCAACTACTTACTGATGGACAGCTGCTTAACATAGCACTGTACACTGTGCTTTATTATGGTATTCTGAGAACTGCTGTCAGCTTATAATAAAGGGTCTGCTTCCAAGCATCTTTGGTAGCTGTCTCAGCTAAGCTATAAGTCTACTTCTAATTATGGCTTCTAATATTCACAGATCAGGTTAAGCACCTTGGATTTCTGTATTATGCGAGTAAACTTTGCAATCTTTAACAGTATTGCTGACATAATCATGTGGCTTGAAGATCTGAGAGCAGAACTTGTATAAATCTGCCCTGTTGTAAATATACCATATATAGACAAAAATGACTGTTTGGCATTTGAATGAATTTTTTTTAGGATTGTTGTTTTGTTGGTATAAGTTAGACTTCAGTCTTCATGCAGTCTACTGCAAAAATTTGTCCATGCCATTTTGCTGGCAAAAAGTTTTCTTACACCTTAGTTTTCCAGTGAAGCATGCCTGTGTCTGGGGCTTGTTAAATCCTTGTTAAGTGGAGCTAGGATAACTTAATTCAAAACTCTAAAGAACATCAATATATGCTCTATTTCTGTACACCTCTTCAGGAGGTCACATAGTCTAGACATGATGCTAATGCTGTCATGTGACTTGCAGTAACAACTTGAAAGGAACAGCTATCCAAAGTTGTGCTACTTTTGAGAATCCTATACTGGAAACTATGTATAGTTGTTTATTTACATATTTCTTGTGTGAGAATTCTTATGCTTTAAAATGTGAGATATAAACATTTTTCATTCTGGAACTATATCAAAACTATTATTTATAGAAAAACAAAGGGGCCATCCTTCAACAGGGTTCAGGGCTTGTTGTACACAAACTTGCTTGCTCAAGAAGACTGCTTTATACTCCAGTTGGAATTTTCTGTGGCTAAAATAATCCGCAAATATTGATAGAAATTGAGATAAGGTAAAAACACTTGTCCCACAGGCGGTCAGGTTCCATGTCTGTACAGTTTACCTTGGTGGATGTCAGACTTTTTGGAACAGGGAGTTCATGGACAGCATCTGCTTGTGCACTGTAACATGGTTGTAGGAGAGGATTGTGTTGGGTCTGGAGGGTGTCTTGGGGGGTTCTGGATTGAGCCATCTGAAGGCTGTCATACAAGACAGAGCAGTCAGGAGTGTCTGGCTAGTTCAAGTGGCTTGTAAGTCCCTGTGGCTTTAGAGAGCAAAACTTAAAGCGATAGCTGTCTGGTGTACGAAGCCACCATAGCTGCCACCTTTACCATCTAGCACTTTAGGTAGAAACTGCAGAGATTGTCCAGGCATCTTGGCTGGGAATCGGAAGGAGATTCCAGATGACTAGCCCAGTTGCATCTTCATGGACAAAGCTGGTCTGGTCCAGCTTCAATTCAGAGACAGTGTAACACACAACTTTCTTTCCCTGGAGATCAATTGTACTAGCTTTCTGCGTAACAATCTTGACAGTTTCAGTTCTATCTCATCTGAGGACAGCATGCTCTTTTTTACTGCATACCTCATTCTCAGGCCACCTAAAACTGAGGAGGCCTCCATTGCAGCTATGTTAGCCTGCTACAAAGTTTTATGAGTAATCTGGCACTGCCATGTGAAAGGATAGTGGTGCCCTGGGGTACTTGACTCAGTTTCTGTTGTAAATGTTCAGATGGTAGGAGCACATGACAGCCATTTTAACAAGGTATTTTTAATATCACTGGTGATGTGAAAAAGTGTTTTGGTTGCTGATAGAATCCTTTAACAGGGATATATATATAGGTTGCCTTTGAATAATAAAACAAGGGGAAGAAAAATCGTTGTGTTTGAAAAGCAGTCCTAATTTTTCCGTTGGGCCTCTGATGAGGCCCTTTTATAATTCTTCAGAGTAAATCATGATGTGTAGTTTATTTTTAAAAGGACGAAAAGTCTGTACTTCAGTAACAACAACTTTATTTTTCTATTATTTTATTTTACTTTTTAGAGAGTAGTGGAAGTTCAAAAGGAAGAAGTTTTGCTGGCAGGAAAGTTCCAAATACAACTAATGCCACTGAAGATTCATATGAAGTGGATGAATTTGCAGCAAAAGCCCTTACAGGAAAGCTGACTACAGTTTTTCTTCCCATTGTCTATACCATTGTCTTTATCATTGGTTTGCCAAGCAATGCCATGGCCCTCTGGGTCTTTTTTTTCCGAACAAAGAAGAAACATCCAGCTGTGATTTATATGGTTAACTTGGCACTGGCAGACCTTCTTTTTGTTGTCTGGTTCCCACTGAAGATTGCGTACCACATAAATGGCAATAACTGGCTATTCGGTGAAGGTCTCTGCAAAGTCCTTGTTGGATTTTTCTATGGAAATATGTACTGTTCCATTCTCTTTATGACATGTCTCAGTGTGCAGCGATATTGGGTTGTAGTGAACCCCATAGTGAATTCAAGAAAGAAATCTGAAATTGCCTTTGGTGTCTCCCTTGCTATCTGGATACTGATTTTGCTGGGCACCATTCCATTGTATCTTGTTAATCAGACAGCATACATCTCAAATCTTAACATTACTACCTGTCATGATGTGTTGCCTGAAAATGTGTTGCCTCATGACATGTTCAATTATTTCCTCTCACTTGCAATTGGACTCTTTTTAATCCCAGCACTCATTACTGCTGTCGCTTACATACTAATGATTAAGACTCTGAATGCTTCCATCTCTGATGTAAGCACTGGGAAGAAACGAAAAAGAGCAATCAAACTCATTATTGTTGTCCTGTCTATGTATCTCATCTGTTTTACACCTAGCAATGTGCTGCTTGTTGTGCACTATTTGCTCCTCAAAACCCGCGGCCAGAACTATATGTATGTGTCGTACATAATTTCACTGTGTCTTTCTACTTTGAACAGTTGTATTGATCCATTCATCTATTACTATATTTCAAAAGACTTCAGAGACAACTTTAGAAATGCTCTTCTTTGCCGAAGTGTGCGAACTACACGGAGGATGCAAGTGTCTCTCTCATCAAGCAGGTATCCCAGGAAATCAAATTCTTATTCTTCAAACTCAAATGGGACCACCAAATCAACCTACTGAGTTTAATCCTAGAAGAAAAGTGAACTTTTATAACTATCGCTGAAGGGGATATATAGTGAGTTATTTTGTACAAGGCAGTCTGAAGAAACGTCTTTGCTTTTTAGTTACACTGAAGCCTGGATTTCAGAACTGGCAGCTGCTTACTCTGTATAGAAGTTGCAATCTTCCCAGTAGACTGGAAAAAAATCATAACATTTCTGATGCTCTGCAAAAATGCTGCTGACTTGGAAATGAGTTGTGGTTGAAGACATTTGTGTTCAATAACAAAGTTGTTGAAAAGCAACATGTCAATGGAATGTTATGTAGTGTTGCTAGTATATTTAATTAACAGAGAAATCTGTTTTGTTTGGCTTTAACTGTAATCTACTGAACAGTTGAACAGATTGTGTATGTAGGACCTTGCTCTGTGTACCCACTTAGGCTGAACATTATTTGAAACCATAGAGAAAAGGAAAGGAGAATCCATTTCACTATCTTGGTGTGGGTCTGGCAAGGTGACTGCTTATTATCTTTATTATAATGTAGTTTTATATTGTTTTCCAAGTTTTCGTGTTGTAAATGCTAACATGGCAGAAGCCCATAAGGTTATCCTATTGAGTTGACAAGCTGAACTTATCAGCTAGCACTGAGATAAAATATTAGTTGACATTATACACTGTTACTTAACGCTTGCCTGTACATGATCTTACACAGGGCTATTTAACAAAGTTTTGATGAATAGCTATTTGATTTTTATATAATGCGCTTTGTATTTTTTAAGATATCTAAATAAGATTTTGTTTTTAATAACAAATTCGAGTTGGGTGTTTTCTTTTATGCTTCTACATGCTCTTCAACATGCTGAGTGTTTCAACTTGCCTGATTTCAGGTAACAAACATATTATTCCAAATAGTGAACTGGAAGTCTGACAACTGTAATGGTAATGTCTAAATGGGTTAAGTAAAATTTACCTAATTATGCATTTTATTATAGCGAAACTGTTCCCTTATTAGCAGAAAACTAAAAGCAAACAGTTCAGAACTGAAATATAAACAAACACATTAACAAGATAGCAAACTTCAGCCCCAGTGGATTTCTATAATACCTTAAATCCTCATTCATCACCTGGAATATTTGTGATGACTCAGGAATATGGCATCACGTGTACTTTTCATCTGAAAAGCTGATGGATACATAAGTTATTTGTAGGGTTTAAATGCATTTTTTCAAATCTTGCAGTCCAGATAAGTTTGAACAAGTAGTACATTGAACTCACAGCTAAGTGACCTATCTGAGATTTAGGCATAGTCATGTCCCTACAAACGTAAGCAAATGGAAGAGCCCTCAGTCCAAAAAGTACTCTGAGACAGCTGGTATATAGATAGGAAATACTTACCATTTCAAATACGGAGAGCAAGGAAGGGGGTAGACTAAACTCTAGCAAGAATTTGAGCACTCTTGTACAGCTTAAAGGCTGTAAGTATTTATATAATAAATTATTTTTTCTGTGTGCTAGTCTGTTCCTTTCTTTGTCTTGTTCTTTGCTTTTTACATTCTCCTTGATGGCATGTTTTTTTCCCCATACATTTCCCTCTTTTTGTTTGTTGTGTGGGTGTTTATTTTTTGTCAAAGTTAGGTTGACGGTTGGACAAGATGATCTTTAAGGTCCCTTCCAACCTAGAAGATTCTGTGATTCTGTAATAAAGATTAAGAGGTTTGTTCAATGAATTAGTCCTCTCATCTCAAGGATTAATTAAGCTCTAGCTCTGCTTTTATCTGCTGCAGTCTTGTCTACTAACTCTTAGCATGTGCTTAATGTGAAAGTAGGATGTTGTGTGGCAGTATCTCAGAGATCCAAGCTAAAATAGCAACTTACATTAAGCATGGCTTCATTGAGAAGCAGAGTTTACAGCCCTTTAGATGATGTGGAACACAAATGCTTCTCAGGCATAGACAGCTTGCTCTTCTTGTTTCCTGGCAAAAATGCAGGGAAATAGTTGCTTATTTATTACTGAAATGAAAATGTAATGCAGCATCCTTACTGGAAAGTAACTGTTCATATGAGGCTATAGTTCTCTGAAAGGATTTGGGAAGAAGAGGGTTGCACCTTCTTCACAAACTGCCATCTGAACTCTTCCCTTAGCCTGTGTATGATAAAGCATGAGAATGTCCTTTATCTTGCTGAAGAGCCTAGTGTGCTTCCTGCTCTGAATGTAGGAAGGGCATGAAGGAAGGGCATCCAGTTCATGCAATTACAGCACTACCTGTGTTCTGCCAGGAGTCCAAGGGTTGTGTGTTGTAAAGATGATGAATTGTTTGTGTTCATCTATATAATATCACCAAGATAGAACTCGTGATTCATGGATCACTGTTAAATTGCTGAAAAAAATATATGCTTAATACAGGTTTTTGGGGGACAAGATTAGTTTCTTGTCATTGTTTAATCAGAAGTACAACAAATAATGTTTGTAACTACACACTTCCTTTCGTGTCATGGGTGGGATCAGAGTTGGGGACTGTCAAACAATCAACCAGACCACTCCACTGCAGCTCATGCAAAGGGGAGCACTGATCACTTCTCCCTTCTAGCCGCCTTCATCCGTGGATTGACAAAGCAGGTTGCAAGGAAAAATCTTTCGTCTCTTACCAGCAGCAGAGGTCTGACAATGACATATGTAAGAGAGTTAGATGTTAGTGAAGTGTTGTTGAGAAAATTTTGACTTAAAAGAATGATTTGTTTTGAAAGTAGGTTGTACTATGTGTGATAAACTTTGGAGAATACTATTCGTGGAGCCCACAGACATCTAGGTGAAGCTTATTCCTTCAAACTATGCTTGCTGGGAGCTAAAAATATCTTTAAAGTCTAGGTTTGTTTGTGGTTTTTTTTATAATTGAGTCTACTCATGTCCTTTTTGCTTTTCCTTTGCTGTTTTAGTGAAACCAACTGGGTTAGTGTCTTTAGCTGGGGTTAGGAAGGTTCATCTTCCCCTGCATCTAACTGTTCTGTGATTATGAGGGGAAGAGAACTGGTACTAAGAATTTAATCAAGTGTCCAGATGTTTTTATGATCTGTATCTTAATGCTGCAAGTGTCTTTCTTTGCTGCAGACAAAGTGTAATAATGACTAAACTAATCTGCTGGTGAAGAGGAGGAACCTTTATAAGAATTGTTTAGCTTTGTTCTTTTATTTATCCTTGAAACAAGGGCAAATTGTAGGAAGTTTTCCCACCTGTAGCCGCATTGCCAACCCTTATCCTGAATTGAGTATAAATTATTTTTCTCCAATTAAGAGAGCAGGTAGACGGGGCTGGTTGTTCAATAGTGTGAATCAATTCCTTGTAATGGCAGCTGTGTGCCCGTGCACCTAGGTAGTGATGGGGCAAGAACATGTAGCCCAGGAGTAATTTATGTGCTCAGCATCATGGTTTCACAAACAGCTCAAGCACATGCTCCAGCTGAGAGAGGTAGGCTAGTCTTTTGCCTACCCTGACTGCTGTTCCCTCCTACTGTCACAAGCATGGGTGACCTTGGGATGGATTAGATCAAACCTGGGTTAAAGTTAAACCAGGGGAGGGAGGGAAATAAGTTTATTTTTCACCTGGAAGAGCATTTTGCCCGTTTGCTGGATGAGCTCATGGCTTAGCACTAGCGAGAGGGTCAGACAGTCTTTCACCACCAACACCAGCTTGCACTGTGCAACTACAAGGTAAGGTGAAGCACGGGAGCTGTGAAGCCTCTGACTAACCTCCTAAGCAGCAGCGAGCAAGCCTCCACCCATGACCATAGGAATGGCACTGCTCACTCAAACTGAGGGTCCATCCAGCTCAGCCAGGAGTCAATCTTCTCACTCATGCCTTTGGAAGTCAACAAGACAGCTAGGTGTCAAGGGGCTTGTCAGAAAACAGTAGGACTGCTGCACAAGGTACCTGACCAACACACCAGACACACGTAAGTTGTGACCAGGGAAGTTTGCGAGTGCTGTGCTATGGGACTGTTGAAATGTGAAGAGAGAGTTAATTAAAAAAGAAGGCAAAAAAAAGGAGCTAGGGGAGCTAAGCTCCTTTTTACGTCTCCGAGGAAAGCTGCTGTTGAGAAGGATTAATCTGTAACTCAAAGAGCATGTGTAATGACAACAACAAAAAGTTATAGGCAGGTACCCAGGGAGGAGTAAAACTAGTGCAGGCACATATAGTATCCCTCACAGTACCCTCCCAACATGTGGCTATTTTCAGCGTGAGAATTTCCTTTCCAATCTGATTTGGCTGGTCTAATTAGTAACACACGTTGGGGGTCTCACTGTGAAAATCAGCCTCATTTTATTTTATTTGAACCAGGATCCACTATCCTCATTTGGTGGCCCCTGGTTCTTAGCAAAGAAGAGTGTGAACGAGTCCCTGGCTGTCTTGTTCGTCCACTTGCGATTCTGTAGGCCAGTGTCATATTCCCTCTCGATTCCTGTCCAGGTTGGAGTCTTAGCCAATTTGGTCCTTCCAGTACAGCCACACTTCAACATGGGATAATCATTTTTCCTTTCTCTTGAGGCCTTTCCATTCCCATACACTGTCACCAAGCTACATACAGCATTCAAGCCATGGATGGTACAATGATGACTTCTGTCTTGCTCCCTGCTACTTTCTCTATAGCTCCTAACTTTCAATTTTATTTTATTTTATTTTTTTCCTGCTCCTAAGCATTGAGTTGATGTTTTCCTGCAGCTGCGTGTAACTACATTTCTCTCCCAAGTGGTTACAGTCATGTTGCAAGCCATAGTTTTGTATGTCAACTGGAATGTTTTTCCCTCATTCACCTCATTTCACAGTTATTTATATTCATTTATATTCATCCACCAATTCATTGCTCAGTCAGTCTTACAAGGTTCTTCTGCAATTCTTTGCAGCTTGTCTAAGTCCTCACTGTCTTGACCAACTTTGTGCTATCAGCAAACCTTAGTTCCTCACTGCTCAACCCTCTTTAGACCACTTTTGAATATGTGGAACAGTACAGATCTGGCACCACACTGGGAGTAACTGGCATTGTGAAAACCAATGTTTTTTCCTGCTACCCTGTATTTCCTTTCTTGTAGTCAGTTATTTTTCCACAAGAGGACCTTCCCTCTTATTCCACAGCTGCCTAGTTGTTTTTTTAAAAGCCTTTGATCAGGAATTTTGCCAAAAGCTTTTCAGAATTCCAGGTAGACTGGATCTGCTGGTCACCGTTGTCCTCACATGCAGAACTCCACAAGGTTTTTAAGCCCAGACTTCTCTTTACAAAAGTTGTGGTGGCTTTTCATAGAAAGGTCCAGGAGTTCCTTACTTAAGTCCCTTCTTAGGCTTTTCATTAATTGCTCAGAACAGATATTGGGCTTGCAGGGCTGTACTTCCCTGGACATCACAGAACCTTCTTTTAATGGCTGATTACAACATTGGCTCCCAGTATTCAAGTATAATTTTGGCAAGAGGTAACAAACTTCTGTTATTCATTCAGCAGTTTTATCACTGAGTTTCCCCAGAACTCCTCCACGGATACCATCTGGGCCCACCAACTTTAGCATTCATTTTGTCTGACTAACTGTGGTGTGATGACTGAAGACGTGCAGCACATGTCTGTAGGTGTGGCTGTCCTGGGAATGCAGCAGCATACTGCCCACCTACCATAACAGCCCTTTGGGGCCCGAGTTTCATTACGGGTGTGTTTGATCTGTCATGGGCACTTTGAACATGGTTAATACATAGCATCAATGTTAAATTCGGCATGAACACAGTAGTCATGGCTATTTTGATTCAAAACCAGCCAGGACAGTAGGTGTTACCTACATTTTTCCTCAGGAGCGATAACCTTCTGTAGGCTTGCAGATAGACATTCTCCAGACACTGTCTGCTGGCAGGACCAGTACAACAGGATGACTACATAGTCAGCCCTCTGTCATTTAGGCCAAAGGAGATGGAGATGCTTCAGATAATGGAAAAAAGAGTAGCAATTGTGAATAGAGTGCTGTGCAGAGACAGCGTGACAACTCCCTTAGATCCATCAGGACTCATTGATTCAGTGCTAGCTTGTGTGACTTGGGCTACACAGTCATTGAAGTATATCTGCAACCAGCTTCCTTGGTGTTTTGGATGGCTCTTTGGTGGCCAAGGAAAGGGGGAAAGGTGTATCTGTCTGTGTGCACACGGTGGTAGGTAGGTTCATAACTACACTGGAGTTCGTAAACCACCTGGGGTTACTTCTGAGGTGAAAACATCAGAACAGAGCCAGCTCCGGGATACCAAGGTCTACCTGGGATTGTCTCTAATGAAAATCTGTCAGAGCCAAGCTCCAGTGTCTACACTTCAATACAGAAGCTGCATTCCCAAATGCAAAGATAATTAAAATCTATCCACTCCCATCTATACGGGTACCCTGCTTCACTGTCACATGAGCTGCCAGCTGTTGAATGCTGTGTGCTACCTGTGCCAGCTTAATGCCCCTCTGGGTATTGCTTTATGTCACAGTGTGGAGTGCCCACAGGAGAGAACCAGTGCAACATCTGAGTCCCAGAGCTGTGTTAGCAAGAGTTCTAACATAGCTATAACCCAGAGATGGCACCTTAGCTCGTAAAACTTGTCCTGTCTTGTCTTCATGGGTCTATTATGCTGGTTGTAAAGCACACTTCTGCTGCTTTATGTTAAAGTTATGTCTTTAAGGTATGTCTGCATGTGGGATGCTTTACCAGGGCAGTCTGCTCATCACATGGATTAAGCCTTGTTCCTTTGTTTCTTTTGAATGTGTTAATAACATGCATGAATGAGCATTAATGATCACTTGTGTAATGAAGCAAGACAACAAAGTGTGGGAGGGAAAGAAAAGCCTATGTTGGACCAGTCTACATTTGGGAGTTATGAGAAACGCCCCAATAACAACTCTCAGCTCTATCAGTTGGTCACCTCCAGGTATTGCTGCCCCTGTCATGTGTTGGTTAATGCAGATAGCTCTGTGGAAATAGTGGACAAGAGGCATGTTACCTGTATTTTATGGCAGTTCTAAAAAACGACATATAGTAATTCTTAAGGTTGAGAGGATTTTATTTGCCAAATCTTGCATGCATCAAGTGACAAGTGCTCCTGCTGAGAACGAGCATGAGCTGGCACATGAGTGTATGTCTATGTAGCAGTTAACAGCTACATTTGTTTCAGCAACTGCACTCTGGCTTTGTGCCTCCCATTCAAGAAGCAAACTGCTGGGAACTGAGCATTCAGCATGTTTAAGATTGAACCTTTAGTGCAGTTTATTTGATTTCTGCCCCCCATTATAGTGCTTGGCAGCTCTCAGCTGCTGGAAGGAAGTGATGATGCATGGACGTGATGCAGTGGGGAACACCATCAGCATTTGTGCTTTCTCTGCATTGGGTCTGAAGTCAAGACGGTATATACTCCTGGTGCTGTGATTTAGCAGCTGGGTTTATGCTTCCCCTGCATGAATGTCTGCAATGGGGACTGCTCTGTGTCATAATCCTGTGAACTGTGGGATGCAGGGAGGTAGAGCCCATTTGCATGGGACCTGTGTATTTCTGAGCACATGGAAAAATGGAGTAAATTAACATGGGAAAACAAAGGATACACTGCTTCTTCGGAGAGGCTGACCCACTGAGTAAGAGGAAATGGAGGAGATAATTAACTAGTAGAACATAAATTTAAAAAATAAGATGCAGTGGGTAGAGGGAGTTTCCTGAAAGTTCTGAAGACTCTTCTGTGTCATGCATTTACAAAAGCCAGTGGTATATGAAGAAAAGACTAGAAGCAATCGATGAGTCAAAACAGCAGCGTTGGCTGTGGAGAGAACACCATGCTCTGGTGCTCACTGGATTTAGTGGGCAGTGACTCAGGAGTAGTTCATACTTCCAGTTTGACACATCTTGACCCCTTGACATTTCACCTTCAAATCCGTCAGGCAAACCCGTCTGGCTTTCTGTGAGCGGATGAACTGAACAATGGGGTTCGCAGTGTAAAAATATCAAGGGCCAGCCCTTAGCACTTATTCAGGACACATTGGAGGCAAGTGGCGCTGTATCACATTCAAATGAAGTTGCCTGCTTTTAGTCAAAATCACTAATTTCTCTCCATTATCTTCAGGACTACAACTAGAAATGCTGGAGGTGGCTGCATTGTGGTGTTGCTATTTGTGATCTGGGGTGGAGGGTGCTGTTGCTGTGAAGAGTGATTTGATGGTAAAATGCAACGCTAAAAGGAAATTATAGAACTGCTCTGTCATAATTTATGAAGACTGTGTGGTGTGTATTAGGCTGATTGCCTGGAAGCTCCCCATGTCACTACGTGTGGGTAAACTGGTAGAGTCGAGAATACTACAATAGTAGCTGGTAAAACAATCCTCAGTAAATGTGTGAGTCGCTGCCAGACCCTGGGCGAGTAGCTGAGATCAAGGAGCCTTGCATGAGTTTTTGTTTAGCAGAGCCAATGAGGGGGTGGACAAAGGAGCTCTCTAATGGTGATGGCTGGTAAAATGTTCATCAGGGGGCTGTTTGGCCTGATGTCTCTAAAGAGTGTAGATGGCTTTGTTTGGGTTTGCTGCTGAAGGATGTAGAGCTGTCCCCAGCATTGACAAAACTCAGCCCAGGGTGAGCTCTGCAGAGTTAAAATCTGCAGCAGAAGTCAAGAAGGCTAGAGACGGAGAGATGGCAGGAAAGAGGGGAGAGAGTCCTACTACTGTTACCTTTACATGGTAACTGTGTTATGGCAGGGCATGGGCAGGTGGATAGGGAATATCCTGGTTCCAGGATATGGGACGGCACAGAGTGGAGATACCTCTGACAGAAGTGGGGAAATGGCAGTGCCTGACTCTGCTGCTAAGGCCACAGCTTCCACTGCCTATACCTCAAATCAAGATAGGGCATTTGGTAAGAGAGATAGCAGCAGCCCTGTTGTTTAAAGATAATTTTTTCTTCCATGTGTGGTTTAAGTTTAAACAATGTTTGTTACAAATACCAACCTTTGAGTCACTGCTTGTCGCAGGCACCCAAAGACACTGAACCAGACCTGTCAGACAAGATCAGGAAGAGCAAGGTCACCACTGGGCACTATGGCCCGAGGACCATTCAGGGGGCTTGTCCACTTAGTGGGGTCACTGCGGTGTGCACATGGCACATATCCTATACCAGCTAATGCACAGTTTTCCTTAACATGAACTCCTGGTGCCTTTGCACTGGGTAGTTCATTCCCTCTTCAAAGGACAGACAGCTCCTCCCAGTTAGTTTGCACTTGGGAGGGGAGTGAAGACACACATCTTTGCTTTGGTATCTAAGCATCCTTTATGGGCAAATCTGCAGAAGGTAGTTCATCACGTCTAACCTAGCAGCCTCCTTTCTTCCTTCCAGAGCATCCACTTCTCCACCGCTTACATGAGGAGCCAAAGTTGTTGCCTTAAAGTCAGAGATGCAAGCACCACCTTGGCTTTTGGTGTTTCCATGGAGTAAAGCACTGACCTTGAATTCACATCCTTACTTTTGCATATTAACCTTCTAGCTTCGTGAGACTTGGAGTATGGAGAAACGGTACCATCTCAGCAGACAAAGGTCACAGAGGTGACATGGGAACGTGGCTCCTCAGCAAGGGGGCAGAGGTGTGTGTCAACAAAGCTGTCTGCCCAAGATAAGGGAGAGGCGTGGTATTCAGGAATGGCTAAGAACTCTATTCATCAACTGGAGAAAGAATTTTACCTATAGAATCACATTTTGTTTCATTTTCTCAAAAACTGCAGAACCGATACTGTGATTAAAGGCTCCCTCTTCTGTTTCTAACTGCCATTGCATATTTTCTTTAACAAATACACAAATATGAAAGACTTAATCTGGGTTTCCCCGTGTTGTGCAAATAGTTTTGTAATTCACCAATTCAAAACATACATATATATCTGATGTTAGAGAAGCAGAAGGACTTAACAGATCATATTAAATATCCCTGCTAAGCTTGGGATCAGGGAAGCAAATTGCTAAGGAGAAATAACAGGGCTCATGGAGAGCATCTTTTGAAACAGGATATTCTCACAGTATCTTCCAGTCTTCCTCATTTTTCTAGGATCTAAACCACTGTTAAAACGAAGTCTTCCAAGCATAAACTTATCTGAACAGAAGAGGTGTTGTTGTTTATCTCCTGTAATCCTCAGGTTTCTGAAATAGCATTACATGCAGAAGTTTATTGTCAACGATAGCTGATTTCTTCCATTACTTCCACAGTGTCCACATGAAGTTTGCCAGCATGGAAATGTTGCTTCACCTGCAAATGTCTGGTTGTAACTTACTGCACGTTTACCATAATCATTGTAGCTACAAAACCTGCTGGCGAGGATGGCGACTCAAGCTGCTTCTCAAGAGTGGACTCAAGTAAGAAAAAAATACATTTCTTAAGTATGGCATGAATCCTTTGAGCAAAGGCAGGGTCCCATTTGTACTGATTTTTACCAGTCTTTCATCTTCCTCAGTGAAGAATTGTAATACTTTTGCAAGATGCTGCAAGTGCACTTCTGTTTGGTATCAAAGGCAGGACTGAGGCTGGGATGCAGCTCTTGAGCTGCAACCCATCATGCCAGGTGAGTCAGGAACAGCTGAGAGTGCAAGACCTGTCCATCAGTGGGGCTGCATCATTACAGGAGATGGTGAGAGCATTTGCCTTTCTTTTTACCACAAACTTCTCCTGACAGTGAACTAAAGAATGAAGAATGGGAAATGCCTGGACCCAGTCCCCTGACAAAAAAAAATAAAAATCTAGATACTTTGTTGTATAATCACTTAGGAGCTTTCCATGGGTCAACAACATCTGTAATTTTGGTTCCTGGAAAGTAATTGTTCACTTGCTTTGAGTGGCGTAATTTTACTTAGATAACCCTTAGAATAACAGACATCAATGCCTGTTATATATGTTTCAGTGGCCACTCGAAGGCACAACATGTGCAAGTAATTAATAAAGATACCATAATTAGAGGGCTGTACAGTTAAGGCAGCAATCACTACTGATATGATACTGGTTTCTGCCATTCTTCTGTCACAGTATGACTTCAAAGAGTAGAAAAGGAGAGCAGGAAAGGATGGCGATATCATGCTTTCGGTGGCAGTGCAAAAAATCACTACAACAAAAGGTAAAAAAATACTTGCAGAGGAAGTATAAGCTTTTTTGCACATTATATCAGTCACTGGCATTCTCCTTTTCATAGTTCAGGATCTTTGGTCAAATATCTGAAAAGCAAATAACAGAAATTCATGTAGTTCTGACTATGAAGGATTTTTTTTTTTCACAGAGATATATGCCTCTTAGAAGGTACAGTATAAATGTTATTAAACTCTTGGGGATAACGAATATAGAAAGCTCACTGAAATTAGAGGGTTTGAATGTGACCTGTGCAGCATTCTGTGGCTATAAACAGTGTTATGCAGCTCTTTGAAGTACGGAGAAGACGCGCTGATCAAAGGCGGAATATTGTTCAGCATGGTAAGGAGGAGATAAAAAGGAAGCTCTGTGAATGTAACACCAGCTCTTTCAAGGCTTTGTTATAGGGGTACTTGGAAAATGGGGTAAGAGCAATAAAACATTACTCATCCTTTTAGAAGACAACAGACAAGTAAATTTCTAAGGGGAATTGTGCACGATCGCTGCTTTCCACAGCAGACATGATGACTATTTTTAGTGGCACATAGGCGAAGTAGATAATTGCTTTGTGGGATTCCTATCTGTCAAAACTTTTACTCATCCATTTTAACTCACTTTGGTGATTTTATTCCCGTTTATTTCCAAATTTTGATGATATATTTTAACTGTGATGTGCATTGGTTGAGTAATAGTTCTGCAGTTGCTTGTGTGTACTTCTCTTCTAACATCTTATCTAATGTCTTTATTTTTACGCACTAGAGGTGTTTGCTGAAACCAGTTCCATTCAGGCTATTTCTGTGCATCTAACATATTGGAATTGGAAGTGAGATAACTGATCAGCCACAAAAAATAGACTTCCCATAGCAAGGTCATGGGAAATTATGCACAACCTCGTAAGAGAACCTCATGCTGCAGAGTGAGATCCAACGGGGTCTGCAGGAACTGAGGGAGTCCCTTCAAGCAAACGCAGGGGCTGAAAGGCTGCACAAGTGCTATGCTTGGGAGGTACAGCAGCAAGGATAAAAGCAGCAAGGAGAAGTGAAACAGAGGCATCAGAATAACACACTCTGTGGCAAGTGCTGGCAAAGGCTGGAGAATGGGTTTTGCCATTGTCCAGGGACACATGAGTGCAAGTGTGTCCTCTGTTGCTATGCTAGGCTTACATCTAGCCCCTCAGCAGCTGACATGCCAGGTGACACAGGGCTGTGGTATGAGACAGGGAAGTGTGTGGCTGGGGTGTAAGCCAGGTGACCAACATGAAGCCCATGGAGCCATCGTGTTCTTTGATGCAAAGGAGTCCCACCACTGGCCAGCGGCTTGGACAGGGTACCTGCCAGGGATGATGGAGACAGGAGCTCCTACTACTGCCCTGCAAAGGTGAGGGATGGAAGCCCCACAGCAAGGTGGTATACCCTGCTGATACACGTGAGTGTATCTGCTCAGTGCAGTGTATTCTCAGTTTCTCCTCCAAATGAAGAGAAAACATGCAGCCCCAAATTCTAAGTAAATGCTAAAGTGTGAAGAGGAAATTATGTCTGTTTGTATGGCTTTCTCTGTTCCTCCTACCATCTCAGCTGTTCCTGGTTTGCATCTAATTTCTTTGTCTTTTAAAGACAATTAAACCGATTATACCTGAACAGCATTGGCCTCTGGCTCTTAATTTTCATCAGCTTTCACATTCAGCCTGGCTCCTGCTGAGCCATGCCTTGCTCCTGTAGTGTTGGTCCAGCTCCATTTTGAGCAACCTGTTCTGGTGGGAGGTGTTCCTGCCCATGGCAGGGGGGTTGGAACTGGATGATCTTTAAGGTCCCTTCCAACCCAAACCATTCTATGATTCTATGAATTCACAAAGTGTGTCCCATTATTTTAACACTAACCTGCGTTAAGCACTTACATTCTCTGCAGAGTTTATAGCTGTAGCTAACAAGCTGTGGGCAACTGGTATTTCTTCTGTCTGTAATTTTTAATGATATTACTTATTATTTGCTTGTTGCTAATGCAGACCCTTATGCGGAGCTTGCCGTAGTACTCCAGTGGTGAAACATCCCATCCAGGTGTGTCCTGGAGCAGTCGGATGGGAGTCTGCTTCCCTCGGGCCACACAGTCACTGCTAGCGTGTGATCTGGAAGCAGCAGTTCTTCAGCAGGACACTAAGGGGCAGCCCTAGACCAAAAGAAGTTTTCCTCATTTTTTTATATGCGTGCAAACTAAGAGGAAACTTTATTTGCTTCATTTTTCTATATTGATTTAACATCAACAGCGCCCAAGAATACTGAATCAAGTCGGGCTGGAGTGGGTTTTTGTTGTTATTTATTTCAGCACCAGTGATAAGGAAGGTGAGTTTATTTGCCATTTATCTCAAGACGGGCCCACTTGAGCACGTAGATAGACCAGAGAGGATGGAAAAGACAACACAGTGAGGTCTGCATGTGGAGCCTTGGTGACGACCTGTGCCTCATGGCATGGCCAAATGCATGTACAAGCATGTAGTTGTATGATCCAGGGGTCTTCGCTGCTCAGAGACACTCCTTGACATCAGAGAGCTAGTCACACTGGTCCTAGGAAACCCATTCCCAAAGTACTAGCTGCTGTGTGGATAGCTGCAGACCAGGAAGGAGGAACTGAGGCAGGAGTCACTCAACAGTTCATCCAGGGAAAAACTATGGATGGTTTTCCTACCACTACGACCTGGTAGGTGACTTGGCCACCATCTGCGACACAGGATCACCCCCTGCAAGAGGGGTGCCAATATCTATGAAGCATAACCTGAACCTAGCTGCAAAAACCTTGTGGAAGGAACCAGAAGTTGAAGTGAATTAGAACAAAGGCTGATGCGTGTTGATACAAGTTAGAATTAGGAAGAAACATGAGTCAGTCAGAACCACCATGTCTCAAAAGGGTGGATTTGCCTTATCGATTGGTGGATTTAACACAAAGGCAATTACTGTCTTGGCTTTGTTCAAAAAAATTATGTATTGCCAAAGACTGTAATGTGAGCTACCAAAGCCAGCTGGGTCTGAGTGCATGTTCTCTGGTTACTGCAGGGACGGAGACCTGCTCTGTAACAGGACCCCCTGACACTACCTGAGGCAGAGCTGGCTCCAACTCTGTGTCTACACCAGGGTATTTTACTCTATTTTGGTATCCTTCCTTGATGCAAAGTGTGTCCCATTATTTTAACACTAACCTGCGTTAAGCACTTACATTCTCTGCAGAGTTTATAGCTGTAGCTAACAAGCTGTGGGCAACTGGTATTTCTTCTGTCTGTAATTTTTAATGATATTACTTATTATTTGCTTGTTGCTAATGCAGACCCTTATGCGGAGCTTGCCGTAGTACTCCAGTGGTGAAACATCCCATCCAGGTGTGTCCTGGAGCAGTCGGATGGGAGTCTGCTTCCCTCGGGCCACACAGTCACTGCTAGCGTGTGATCTGGAAGCAGCAGTTCTTCAGCAGGACACTAAGGGGCAGCCCTAGACCAAAAGAAGTTTTCCTCATTTTTTTATATGCGTGCAAACTAAGAGGAAACTTTATTTGCTTCATTTTTCTATATTGATTTAACATCAACAGCGCCCAAGAATACTGAATCAAGTCGGGCTGGAGTGGGTTTTTGTTGTTATTTATTTCAGCACCAGTGATAAGGAAGGTGAGTTTATTTGCCATTTATCTCAAGACGGGCCCACTTGAGCACGTAGATAGACCAGAGAGGATGGAAAAGACAACACAGTGAGGTCTGCATGTGGAGCCTTGGTGACGACCTGTGCCTCATGGCATGGCCAAATGCATGTACAAGCATGTAGTTGTATGATCCAGGGGTCTTCGCTGCTCAGAGACACTCCTTGACATCAGAGAGCTAGTCACACTGGTCCTAGGAAACCCATTCCCAAAGTACTAGCTGCTGTGTGGATAGCTGCAGACCAGGAAGGAGGAACTGAGGCAGGAGTCACTCAACAGTTCATCCAGGGAAAAACTATGGATGGTTTTCCTACCACTACGACCTGGTAGGTGACTTGGCCACCATCTGCGACACAGGATCACCCCCTGCAAGAGGGGTGCCAATATCTATGAAGCATAACCTGAACCTAGCTGCAAAAACCTTGTGGAAGGAACCAGAAGTTGAAGTGAATTAGAACAAAGGCTGATGCGTGTTGATACAAGTTAGAATTAGGAAGAAACATGAGTCAGTCAGAACCACCATGTCTCAAAAGGGTGGATTTGCCTTATCGATTGGTGGATTTAACACAAAGGCAATTACTGTCTTGGCTTTGTTCAAAAAAATTATGTATTGCCAAAGACTGTAATGTGAGCTACCAAAGCCAGCTGGGTCTGAGTGCATGTTCTCTGGTTACTGCAGGGACGGAGACCTGCTCTGTAACAGGACCCCCTGACACTACCTGAGGCAGAGCTGGCTCCAACTCTGTGTCTACACCAGGGTATTTTACTCTATTTTGGTATCCTTCCTTGATGTGGATAGACTGCATTATAGTAAAAATGGCTTGGCTGATATAGAGCTGGATAGATACACCTGCTTCAGAGGCTTATGAGGAAGAAAGGATTGTATAGCCAGAATATCACTTCAAAACTCCAGTTTAGGGTTAGTGAAGGATTTCTAGGCTATTTTCCAGATAACAATACATTCCTATACAACCTGGTATTGTTTTCACAGGATAGTAACAGTTGGTTGCTCACAGATGGAGGAAATGGTGGCTGATTTTCTGGGAGGAGAAGGAGGGAGCTGTAGGGAGTAAATCAAGTCAGTGCCTAAAGTACAACAATGCTCCAATTTCTGTTCTAAACAAGTATCACAAGAGAAATGGCCACTATGGGAACAAGCAGAGTTCAACGACCTGGGCATTTCAATGAAATAGTCATTTACATATTGGGAAAAGAAGTGTACAATCTTGTCCAAAACAGGACTCATCAGAGAATGAGATCAGGATACACTTAAGCTGGGCAGCCCTTGAAGTGTAACCCATTAAAAAAGATGCCTACAGAGTAAACCACTGAATTTAGGTGGTAAAAGCTATTAGCAAGAGCTTTAATAGCTCTTTGCTGTTCTGCTCTCTGTGGGAACACAGCAGTTAAAACAGTCTTGAAGATGTGAACCAGAACCTGTGGGGAAGGGAGACATATCTGATGTAAAGGGATATAAATCAATCAAACACCCAGATATGGAAAGGGAACATAAATGGAAATGCTAGCAATCCTAAAAAATGTGAAAATGTTCATTATAACTTAAAAAGAAATACTATTTCAAATGTAAGTCTCTTATAAATTCTTTAGTCTGTATTAATAAGATCTTTAGTCTAATCCAGGCTCTAACCTAATGCAAGCTTTTTAGTGCAAGTGTATCTGTCCTTCTGAGGACAGATGCAGTGCCCCCTATTGCTTCCCATCACACACCTTTTGCCACTGTACCCACAGGGGTACAACATTGATTCAAAACACGTGCATCCCAAGAACAGTGTGAGTTTGGGAAAAATAAATAATGACAGGATGTGGGTGGGAGGCTGACTTGCCTTTCCCAGCGCAATAATTATTTGTGAGAAAATATTCCCCACGTGCATTCTGGCAAATGTTGGAAACCAGATGCCCTAAGTATGAGATCCTCCCACTTAAGCTGAGCAGTATTTTACTGTGGCTTAGACTGTCACTTTATAGGCTGCTCTGGCTTAAAGGCATCCTGTCTTACGTAGTTTCAAGAAGAGACCAGGGAAAAATCCTGGTAAAGGAGCCAAAGTTTCTCCTTCCCAGCTGTGGAGGAAGGAGGCTGCTGACCTATGTCAAGGGCTGACTGCTTTCACACAGGGCAGAACTGTGCTCAGTTTTTTGAGGAGCAGAGCCCAGCGATAAGATTTTCTTCCTGTGATCTGACTGCTCCATCTCCATGTAGGAGGGGAGAAGCAGTCCCATAGAACTTCCCAGCTAAGTGTACCTCTACGTTACCCCAACTAAAATTAAAAAAAGCAGTCATAGCTGGTTGCGTCCTTCCTCAGATTTACAGGGCAAGGAACAACTTCTGCCTCTCTCAGCAGCCTCTGGTTAAATCAGATGGCTGACTCATTCTGTAAGCCTAGTAGCTATTACTGCTTGAGCGAAGGTGGTAGAATTTGGCCCTGTGGAGTATTTGTGCCATGCCAGGTGAAAAATCTGTCCTTCTGTTCCTGACAACCCTTGACTTTGCAGTGCACACTTTAATATTGAAATACTCATTAGGAGAAGGGCACAGATGGACACTAGAATATGGAACTAGAATGGTTGAGTCAAGGGACAGCCTGCTTTCGAGTTTATTTTTGAGTTTGAGAGAGGTTTGAGAGAGGAGCTGAGACTATTTGAAGGGAATTTATAAATTCAACAAAGTAAAACTCTTTGTGGTGGTAATAAGTGGTGCAAAAAGGGCCAACAGCCACGATTGTGGTTTGGGATGCTCAGACTGGAAATTAGGGTAAACATTTTCTCCAGGGAGGTAGTGCAGCACTAGAGCAAGGACTTGTGAAATCTCCGTCCTTGGAGGTTTTCAAGATTTAACTACACAAAGCCAAGCCTGACTTGGTCTGGCATCGGTGATCATCCCACTTTGAGCAGGTGGCGGCACTAGGTGCCTCCAGAGGTGCTTTCCCACCAACACTGCCATGATTTGGCAGGTTATGACAAAGTTTGGTCATGAATGAGGGAGGCACCAATCTTCACCATGTCTACAGTCATGTTACAGTCCTACTCCCTCTATCAACCATATGTCTGGTGCTGCTCCTGTGTTTAGCCTGCTGGAAAGCAGAGTGCAGGGAGGACTGATGGGGAAATGGTGGTTGCTGACATGGAGTTGGGTCTTGCCCTGATATAGAAGTGCTCACAAGCTACACTGACTTTAGTTGTCTTCAATACCTATTAGATATCATACAAAACCAGATTGTGCTTGAGTTTTAGATGAAGGATTAAAAACCATTTACTGATAATCATGAATTTTGAGTAGCTTCTGGGACCTCCCCTCACAGGAGTTAGGAGGCCACTGGAGGATCTCACTGGAGCCACTGGCAGGTTCTCACTAGCCAGAGTGGAAAGGGATGGACACAGCAAATTGAATAGACCTCTTACCAAAAATTTCAGTACAGCTATTCCCTGTGTACCTGTAATCCATTCACATGGAATAGAGAGTTTCTTACACAATTAGCTGGTGTAAAAATAGCTATTGAAAAGGACTGCATGGATTATACCACTGTATAAATTATTGAGCTGATGTCCTGGTGATGATAGAGGAAACCCTTCTTTCTTCTGTCCTGAGGATGGCAGCTCTGAAAGTTTATACCTGCTTCCTGGAAGTTGTACCTCCTGTAGACTCTGCTTAGATAATCAATTTGCAATATTAATCAGCCAGAACAACAGAAGGATTTTATACTTATGTATTGACTCAGCCATGGGATTATTTTTATGGTTGTGGCTGAAACTGTTGTTGAATAAATGGCAAAAATAAGACTTCAACGTTTTGATGTTTGTCTGGTTAATATTTCTGAGCAACAGTTATAAGCATTGCAGGCAAGATGTAGCCCTGTGTGGTTGTCACTACGTAAGAGACTCTATGCTTTTTCTTAGCTGAAAAGACACAGAGAATTCCCAGGATGTGATTAGAAGAACTGTGCTGTGCCTGTGTTCTTCTCTGATTTGCTGCATATAGTCCAGCTAGATCCCCGTGCTTGCTGGAGCACAGTGACCTCCCTCTATACGAAACCAGGCACCCATTAGCTACCCCCAAATGCAGAAGTATGGAGAGCAGCTCTCCTCCCCAACTCTCCTCTGATTCCAGGAGAGATTAAGTTCCTCTTGTTGCATATCAACTTTTCCAGGCTGGTTTACACCTGAACCTTTTCTAAAATTTACCTGAGCATTGGGTCCTCACATCCCTCGTGGGCACCCATGACCATAGCAATGGGAGGGGAAGGCATTCATCCTGCACACAGTATTGTGGATGCCCACAGGGACCTCTAACCAGAAGAGGCTGCCTACTGTTTTGGAACCAGCACTTTACATACAGTCACCTCCCACACCACTGGGATCCAGCATTTTCATGTGTCCCCTTCCTGCCTCCCCCTTCTCCCAGAGGCACAGCCAAGACCCCTCAGGTTGTGCAGACTTGTCACAGCAGCACAGATGGAAGAAGCATCCTGGCTGGAGGCAAAGGAGGCAGGCAGAGGTGTGGGTGAGATCTACTGTGAAAATCAAAATTACAGTGTCTGGAGGCTTTCAGAGGTAAAAACAATGCCCATCTCATTATCTTCCCCCCTCGGCTGGAAAAAAAAGAGAGAAAGAGCTGCAGCTGCGTGCCCTCTTGGTGTTTATGTGCCCAGTTGTGTTCACTGGACATGCATGTGCAGCAGGTGGAAGTCTTTATCGATGAAAAGCAAATCCAAAGCAATCAGTTTTCCATTTCATGTAGCTGTCATGAAAACTGTAGCTATTTGCTATTTTGGATGGTAAATAGGCCCTACCAAGGTGAAGCTGCTGTTTCTTGCACCCCCAAGCCATCACCCCTGGAGCTGGCAAGTCCCTGGGGGTGGGGCAGGGGAAGTTTTACTGGGGAAGGTCACCTATTAAAAGAGAGATGCTGAACTGTAGTTGTTGTGCAGAACTGATAAAAATGAAGCCAAGCTTATTGGTCAGTGCACGGTGTAATGTCAGGCACACCTTCCTCTCAAACTGGTTTCCTTGTGTGCTCCTGAGGACACATGGACTACCACAAGAATTTCATTGAGCAAGAGCAAACATTTTAGGCTTACAGAGATATCTGACGATATAGATAGATGTCACAAGGGATTTGTACAAAGTCACCTACAAGCCTGCCCCTAGGTACCAACGTGTCTTTGAACACTGGCTGTCAGTGGCAAGGCATTTAGACTCTCAGCTGTAAAAGTGCAGAGAGACAGATTAGAAAGAGTTCTTTTGAAAATGGGGGAAAGTTTTTTTATGTGGACTTGGTGATTGTTAGCATTTTCTAATTTTCACCTTCAGGCCCCCTGATGGGCATATTTGTAAAAGGTCAAATGATAAAAAATATCTCATATGTTCCACACACAGTCCTCTGCTCTGCCTAGTGAATATTTTAGTGACCCATTTACAGGAAGCGGCTTTTATTGAACAGAGTAGGGAAATGCAGAGGGAAACAGAAGCCCTGTCATCCTTGTGAAAATTATACGTCTGTCTCTATTTGTGTAATCCACCCTCTCAGCCTGGTAAACAAGAGCCTGTGCATGAGGTTTGAAAGGAAGGTGACCATCACCTCCTGTGATCTGGATATTTTCTTGCATACACCTCAGCTACCCTGTAAAGCAGGTAAGTCTTAGCTATGTACGAAGACACTGTTCAGGATTCCAGTTTTACCTTGAATTTCATTCTGGCTTTTTAATCTCTCTCCTGAGGCTTCATCAACATGTTTCCCTTTCATCTGATATCTATTTTTAGTTATTTTTTGAGTCAACTACTCAGCAACTAATTGCATTTCCTTCTTTTTTCTTGGTGGTGCTTCTCTCTGTACCTTTTTACTGCACGCTCAATGAAGCAAACCCTCAGGGGTGCCTAGCTCACATTTGTTTATTCCAGGTAATTTACAAGAAAAAAAGGTCAGCCCAAGCTAACACAACTGAATAAATTGAAAGCTGATGCTTCTGTCCTTATTACTGGTGACTTTCTCTAACCACTTAAGAAGCTGGTGTGGAGCCTTCCGTATAAATGCAGATGCACTTTGGCTGCTATTGTTTGTTGTTCTCGTTTTCTTGAGAAAATTTTTGAATTATCAGGTAGGAGGGTGTGCCTTCATTTCCTGACTTTTCAGCTATGTGTACGAGAGATTTCCTTTTACAGTAGCTTTGCAAAATGGATGCACAGTAGATCACTTTCTTAAACAAAGGCCTTCCTTTTTCTTTAGGCTTTAGAAGTAATTGTTAGTGAGCACAGGACAATGTTTTATAACAGTCTAGCCTTGCTGACAGCTGACAGGATGGGTCAACCAAAAGTCCATTTTTTCAGTAATGGTAACAATTTCTCTCTTCAGCTAGCTCTCCATCCCTTCCCTGACATCGGTCTTTGGTTTGGCTCCTGTGCAATGTCACTGACTGGATCTTTGCCCTGCAGCTCTCCCACTCACAGCTATGTCCACACCACTGGAAGACGCCATGGACACCTTGATCAGGATTTTCCATCACTATTCTGGCAAAGAAGGAGACAGATACAAGCTCAGTAAAGGAGAACTCAAGGAGCTCCTCACCAGCGAGCTCACTGACTTCCTCTCAGTAAGATACAGTTCCTGAACCTCTTGTTATTGTTTCATGGGTGGGATAAGCAGCTATCCAAGTGTTCAGGAATAGCATCTCCTTCTGCAAGACATGTCCTGTCACAACTTCTCAGATGACAGTTTTGTTTGTGGAGCTGGACAGATGGAGATGAGATCAAATGCCCCATTTGAGAAGTGTGTTTTCAGAGGGTGGTCCAGCCATGCCCTGCCACATGCCACCAGTGGCAGAGCCAGCTACTTGTGCTCTGCTTACTCCTCTGCACTTCTGAGCAGAAGGGCAAGGGCAGCCCAGAAACAGTAGGAAAATTGATGCTAAATCAGGCTTTAATCCATTTTTTGTTTGTTCATTTTTAATAGTAGGGCATAGATAAGTCCTTCGAAGAATTAAATCTAGCAACCAGTTCTCATGAGACAGCAAAGTAGCTTGTGCACAGTGGCCACAGACACAGTACGGCTGTTTGTGTGCCCTGTAGAGAGATGCTAAGAAAATCCTTTCAGCGATAAGATGCTGATGTGAATATCTCTTCACACGTTTATTGTGTTCTGCATTACACAGCATGCATGCTTTTTATGGAACAATGACCAGATTCATAGTTGTTTTTCTATATCCTCTTAATTGTAAAAATTGTTGTGGACCTTGTCACCACCAGCAGGTTTTTTATTACATTGTATCCATTTCCTTGCATTTTCTTTTATTCCTGGTTATTGATTTATTATTATGAGAGTCACTGTTCTTACTTCCACTGAATAGGTTGTGTTTGCTAAGTAAAGATCTTCTCAATGTGATGAATGGATGTGTAATGACCACTTATGAATAGCCTGTTAAAAATCTACATACTGTTTGAACACAGAGATATGCACATTATAGATCCATCTCGTCTAAAGAAAACAGTGCTCAGCAGCTCCTAAAATCTGCTTGATCAAATTCAGTGCGTATTTAGGACCTGTATTTCTTCTAAGAATTGCATTGTCTTCAAATTCTATTGCTGTGCACTTTTGAGTCGCTAGACCTATGTTTTTAATGCTGTGGCTAGTGGTATGCTACTATTCAGGTGCATATTTCATGTGACCTTTTATTTGATAGCACCGGGGCTTGTCACGTAACAGTGGGTTGCCCCACCAGGTATTCCAGAATTACATATTCAAGATCTGCATAACTAAGTCACTTTTCTTTCTCTTTAGGGCCAAAAGGACCCCCTTCTGGTTGATAAGATTATGAAAGATCTGGACTCCAATAAAGACAATGAAGTGGATTTTAATGAATTTGTCATTCTGGTTGCTGCTTTGACTGTAGCATGTAATGATTACTTCGAAGAACAGCTGAAGAAAGAGGAATTTTAAAAACACTCAATACAATCAATTTCCTGGCCACAAATGTGAGCAAAGCACATGTAGCTAGGTAGCTCTCATCAGCGTTTAGTGAATGCAAACCATCGTGCTTCCAACTGTTACTGCTGTCAGACACTTGTAGACCAGATCAGCAGCTGGTGTAAGCTGGACCAAAGCCAGTCTACACTACTTGAGATCTGGCTTTTAATATTTTCAGTCCTTGCGCTGTGTGCATCTGTAACATGCATTCATCAGTTGCCCAGGTCAAGGGTTCGGGCTGACAGATCGTTTGGCAGGACTTGAGACTTTTATTTCTTAAATGTCAGTGGCAAGTAAAAGGAACAGGAATGTTACTTATGTGCTCTCTGAATTGGCAAATCTGGAATAAAATGTAAAACTTGCAATTTGGTTTTCAGTCATTCTATAACAACCATATTTTTGCAGCTCAAAAAGAGCAGCTTGTTTTTTTGCTCAGCTCTGCTTATTCTAAAGCCCTTTTTAGATGCTGCTCCCCACGCTCTTGTATTTCAGATGTGGTCACAGCTGTCTCCTGCCGCCTGAGCAGACGGCACTGCTTGCCATTGTAGCGGGTTCATTTCCCCCACCTCCCCAGCTTCAATTTTGTTGTGTTGGCATTACTGCATCCCAGTAGTCCACCTCTTCATTCAGCATAAATGAATTTATTCATATGATAAATTATTCAAATACATAGAAGATTTAGACAGCAAACTGCTCTAAGGGCTGATAGAAGGACTGGGTCTTCAGGGGAAATGTAAATGCCTTTTGCTTTCAGTATTCTGGCATCCTTAAGAGGAGGGCTTTTAGAGGACCACTTGTGGGGGATTTAATGACAGGATCCCAGGGTACAGCTTTGTAATGTGAGTCATCTTATGGAACAATGATTTCATCTCATACTGATCCAACCCACTATGTGGAAGCAGTGCAAAAGGGGCAGTGGGACCTCATGGCCAGGTGTGGAGCGAGTAGGACAATCCTTTTCAATGTTAACCTGCTCTTGGGTTAAATGAAGAGTACTTTTACACTCCTGTTGGAATTACCCATACTTCCAAAGCCCTGTGAATCCTCAGTGGCAGGGTCTCTTGTATGAAGAGTTCTCTTTGTTCCTTGTAATTTTGTTGGTAACTTCAAACTATAATAAAAGGCATCTGAAATAAATGAAGATGTTATGTTTGTGTAAGAGGTTAATAAACAAACATCCCTCAATGAAGACGTACTCTGCTAGGCAACATTTGAAGAATGCATTTCACTAGTCTCTCCTCACCAGACCACCGGAAATCATTTTGTAAAGACTATAGTCTTTGTATAAAATCATGTGTCATTAAGAAGATGTAATTATTAGAAGGAGGGGATTCTGTAGGGTCTAATAAATATAACAAGGGACAGACATCATCCTAAGAAAGGAGCCACCACCAAACAATATTATCCCAGAAAATGGAGACTCTGAGGCGGTGGCAGAGCCACAATGTGCTGCCTCTTTAGCTCTTCAGTGACAGAAGTTATGTAGGATTCACCAGTCTTCTAGGGGAACACAGCAAAAAGTATCAGTTAAACTTATAACAATTGCACATTTTTTGCCCCTGCAATATCATGCACCTCAATACCATTGAGTTGTTGGACCAGGATGGCAGGAGTACCAACCAGAAAAATTAAGACTGCCTTTATGGTTCCCTGTAGGTCCTGCAGACTGTTGCTAGTCTCTAAACCTTTCCAAGACAAGAGCAGCTTAAAGCTTCAACCCCAAGTTACAAGGAGTAAGATTGCTCCAGTGAGAACCAGTTTCTTTGTTATGACTTCTGAGCAAGAGGCTTTTTGGAAACAAGCTCCAGAAAGTTCGTAAACCCTCTGCTCATCCCTGATCAACCCCTGGATGCACAGCAGCCTGTGTGCCAAGCAGAATTATGCTAAATCACAGCTGGTGGCAGCAACATGCCCCGGGGTCAGGCAGCAAGAGGTGCTGTTGTGATGGAGAGGGTCAGTGGAGCCATCTCATCAGCTGAATTTACTGGGAACTGAGTGCAGCCTAATTCCCCTGCGGAAGGGGCTTGCTTGCACATGAGTTATGGGTGAATCAGAGGAGAATGACTCAAATGATCTTTATTCCAACAAAAGTTTTATAAAACCTCATAAATCACCCTTTTTGGCTTGTCTGGTTAGCTTTTTCTTGTTGCCATTTTAACTGCAAGGACAACTGTTCACCTCTATCAGCTTTAAAGAAGAAACCTTTTTGCACAGAGACTGGAGACTGAGCAGAAAAGGAAGAAAATGCTCCAAAGCACATTCAGATGTGTGAAAACACAAAACATTGGCACAATTTGGGGGTAAGGGACTTGCTCTTGGGCTAACCATGGGCTGACCCACTGCACCAATGGGTCATTCCTCTGCCATTCTTCTCCCACAGGATCCAATTAGTGCTGAATTAGTAGACACCACTTCCAAGGAAGATACTGAAGATCACCTGGAAGTTTTGAATTGCCTTAGAAAAAGCTGTGAGCAATCCTCTTTTCTGTAAGCAGTCCTCAGGAAGGAAAACTACACTGAAGCCACCTACACTGGCTCTACAAGATGGGGCTTGCAAGCCAACCTCATTACGGCCACTTTAGCCTGCAGTTGTGAACATTTTGGTTTTAGCTTCTCTCAGACGTGAAAAATGTCTCCTTCAAACATGAAGGCAGTATTTTTTTTCTCATTACTTACTGACACTTTTCCTGCTGACTTTGAGTTTGCTTGTGGTTCATGAATCTAGGAAGCACTTTGAAATTTTACATGCAGAGGAAGCTTGCTGTATGGCTTTCTCCAAAGCCCCTCAGCTAATTACAGGCACCGTTTTCATTTGTGTTACCAGACTGTCTGAAAAATCGATAGAAAACTGAACACCACATTATGGCCTAATATTTTCAAGTTATATTAAAGACCAATAAAAAAAATATAGCAATGCTAGACAAAATCTTTTCTAGCTATTGTGAAATTATTTTGCCTGACATCTGAAAAGCAGATTTTCAGAAGATAGATGATATTATCTTGAAAGCCTCAGCCTCTGCTGTTTGCTTTTATTTCAGTTCAAAGGAGTGTTGAAGTGCTAGTGCAACCGGGTACACAAAGCTTGATGCACTATTGGTAAATACATTTATAACCTCTTCAGATCCAGTATCCAAACACAAAGAGCTGTGTACGGCACCACTGTGATGACGAGTGCTTTGCAACAGAGCAGTCCCTCCAAGTTCTGACTTACCAGCCAGGTCCACTAGGAAGGCACCACCTTTTTCACTCTACAGCAGTGTAGACAGTGTCAAGTGCAATGGGATAATCATCAGCCTACAACATCAGTTCCTCCTTGTAAAGATGAGAAACAAAGTTGCCTGGGGTTGTGGGAAGGGAGAGGGTAGTGACACTAGGAGACCCCAACAGAACAGGTGATGTTTCCAGAAATGTCATTAATTGCTTTCCACCAAATGCTATTCAAGAAAGAATTGAAAGTTATTGCCAGTGATGATTTCATGTTTATGGATATGAGTCTGGTGCTGCATTTGCATGGACTACCATACAGAGAGTACCGGTGTTAACCTGCAACTGCTAGTGAAGGAAATCCAGCATCCTCAAAGCCTGTCACAACTGCTGGGTGGGTGCAGAGCAGCACATGCAGCACGTGTGACACAGCCCAGAGCTGCTCAGGGTGGCAGAACAGTACAGCAGTTTGACGTGCCTGGCTGTTCGGTCTGGGAAATCTGGATAGGGCTGTCTTTCAAATCTCAGAGGTTATTAGCGCATTTACTTCTCACCCTTGGCATCATGACACACAGGCTGGCTAACTCCCAGCGCTGGCTGTCCATATAATGCCTGCTCTGTTTAGTCATGCACATTTTTCCCTTAGCAAAGCGGGTATTTCCTCCTGGGCCAATAGTTCCTGGATGTCCCCCCAGCACAACAATCTCTGCCATGGGTGCATGGCCACAACAATGCGGTGGGTGTTCACAGTGTGCACGGGATGGGCTGCATTGTCTCATAACCCAGGGCAGTATCTCAGCAAAGCACAGCTTCATGATACTCCAAGCAGCCAGGGAATTAACAATGTGGTACAAATAGGCCAGAAGAAGTAGAAGAGTTCTCCTGTAGCAATGCAGGTACACCCCAGGTCACTCAGCCACCCAAGGGAGAGCCCCTTTCCAGGCTCCATGCTGCAGCACAAAGCAGAGCGTGGCCAGAAGGGAAACTCTTAGAGAAAGACCAGACTCCACCGGTGACACACAGGAAATACTCAGCTCCTTTCCAATTTCAGCCCTGAAGAAGATTGGATAAGGGGTCAAACACAAAACTTGCCTCTGAAATCAGATTAATCTATATAAAGGTTTTTGAGTGGCAGGAAGATTTGTTAGGCAGTGATGTGACGTCATGTGCATGTCTAATAAGGGTATTGATTGACAGGCCAACAATTATTAGATGTGTCTTTAGGGATAATTAAGTTTGTTGAATGGCACTGAGTTATTTGAAGAAAAATGGGGTCACATTTTCAATTTTATCTTTCTTCTGTCACGTGATATGGATGAGAGATAATGTTTCATTTATGATCTGGTAAACTGTTTTCTAAGCTAACTGCATCTACAGACTTTCCTCTGAGCTGGAGTATGGTGCGTTACAGGCCCTGGGCAGTTATCAGAGAGAACACATGAATGAACATGATACATTAAAAAAAAAACCAACAAAAAAACCCCCCACAACATAAACCCCCCAAACTTGTACTTTTTAAATACCAGCTCTCAGCCACCTACAACTAGTTGTGTATGAAGGGCAGCTCCCAAGGAAGAGAACTGCAGCTGCATCCACTTATTCTGCCCTCGCAAGTAGGTTCTCAGCTGATGTAAAACAACAGAGCATATTGCACTTAGTGGCATAATTTCGCAACAGCTGAGGACATGTGCTCGAGACTTTAAATTAGCCTTCAATGGAAAGCTATGTTTCTGTTAGCCGGTTGGCTAAATAAGGACATGTCTGTAAAATTGCAAATGTTGCAACAAGGCAGCTAAGAGGAAGACAGGAGGAGTGGTTGCTCAAAGCAGAGGTATTTGGGGGGAAATTAGTGGAAAATGCTTCTGTGATACATCTGCTTTAAATTCTAGGCCGTTTTCTCAGCTTCAACTTCATGAGTTGAAGAGCAAATTGTCAAACTGTAGCTCTAAAATACTTCTCTGTGTAGTCTGCCTTAAAACCTCATGTATTGCTCCAACTCTACATTCCCAGCAGTTGCATGAACGCAGAAAAGCACTATGTGGAAACATAGAATAAAGCTGCCGCAGGAAAAAACCGCCTGTGATTAGAACATGTTGCAAAGAGCAGAAAAGCAACTGAACCACCTGGAGCATTAGTTAAAGTTGTGTTTTGGGAACTGAAA